AATGTTTAAATGTATGCACATATTAAATTACAGTCCCCAAAAATTTAAAGCGTCATTAATGCAATGCGTTTTTATTCGATAAGTGTAATTCAACGTGGTTTTTTTTTTCCCATCAACGACTTTTGTCATTAATTTACTTCCATAGGCTGGTTCCTACTTGGTGTCTTTTGAGAACCTGCCGGCATTTCCACCAGTTTCAGAAAAGAATGCAACAGAAACGTTACCTATCCAGAAGTGAGAGTAAAGTAAAGGTTCACATGTATTCCATTTTTTGGATTTTTTTTTATCCATTTCAGATTTTGGTTCAGTTTTTATAAGCTGCCGAACCAAAAACAAGTTTTCAGAGTATAACTCATTGTGCTCTGTCGCTATTGCCTGTATCCACTTTTTCCTCCTTAAAGGCTCCCCCATCTGTGTTTTACCACTGTCCTTTTAAGGATGGTGCAATAATAGTCTGCTAAAACTTTAATCTTACTGTCTGCCTCATGATGTTTTCGGCAATTGATCGCCACAGTATTTAATTTATTCAACCTGCAAAGTTTATAATTGATTTGCTAGCCAGACTTAATAAATCTTTCATTTTTCACAGAATAAAAAATGAACGTTATTCTGCTAATAAACTGGCAAGTTGTTTCACTGTTGGCACCAGTGATATTAGACTAAACTATATATGTCATAGATTGAATTTTTCAGGTATGCGGAAGGTTTGGATGCATTAGCCTTTCCATTTCTGCTGAGGTTACGGTTCCAAATTCTGAGACAAGCTTTTCTGTGGTGCTGTGCTAGAGCTCAGGGCCAGTTTTTTTTTGTAGTGGAAACATGTGTAACTAGTCCCAGATTGGGAAGAGTGCGGCATTGGCTCTGGCACTGAATCGGTGGAAACGAGGCATTAGATAAATTTTTGTACATACTGCAGTAGTAAACATAGTGCAAACAAATTTTAAAATGCACAAATATCCTGCAAAACAGAATATTGGAATATTAAGGAACTAAATATTTCAAGATATTAATAAATTAGTGGTATGTGCCGTTAAGCAGATAGCATCGAAGTTTTACTACATCAAAGACAATGATTTCCTGGCGCGTTATGTCTGGGGGTGGGGAGTGGCACGTCAACAGGGGGCGCTGTGGTGTCTTATGGCAGCAGGCAGGAAGGGGGATGATGTGCAGTGTTTTTTTTTGTTTTTTTTTTTTACCCTAGTGCCACAGTGCTACCTTACAGAGATGAATGTTTGTGGGGTGGCCCACTGCATTAAGCCGCGACTCAACTCTCTTTCACATTAGATTTATGCAAATAAGAGGCTGTGTGTTAATGGGGGGAGAGATTCGGGATGGCACTGGGTTCCTCCCCGTCCTGAGGAGGTGTGATATCTCTGCTACAGTGAGGAAAAGACTGAGCAGCTGGTCGATGCCAAGAACGAGGTGGAGCGGCTGGAAGCTGAGATGAAGAGGCTGAAGCTGGAGGTAAGCCTAGCAAGATGCCCATACGTGCAAGACAGACCCCACAGTCCGTGCTGGGGTACGTCCATGCCCACTCACATGGGGAGCATGAATCGCTGTCCCAATCCCTCCCCCAGAGTGCGCAGCTGTTGGCGGAGGCACGGGCAGCACGGGCATACCGGGACGAGCTGGATGCCCTACGGGAGCGCGCAGGCCGCGGGGACCGACTGGAGGCGGAGCTGCTGCGCTGCAAGGAAAGGCTGAACGACGTGCACTTCTACAGGGCCCGTGTGGAGGTGGGTGCAGCGGGCTGGGAGGCGGGCGTCACGGCAACAGCTTGGGCAGCCAGGAGTAATGCCACAGGAGGGGTGTTTTAAGCTTCAGGCAGGTGGGGGCAGGTTTTTAGCAGTTTTAAGGCCCCCAATGAGCCAATAATCATGTAAATCGAGACATAGTGGCCAGAAAAGCTGTCGGTGCTTTAAAAAGGCCTGACTGCTTGGGCACAGTTTAAAAAAAAAAAAAAAAAAACAAGGGTTGATGCAGGCCTTCCCAAATCCCTGCTCGCAGCCTGCATGCTGTGATTAATGCAGCAGTGCTCTTAACTAGGAATTAAGTTTTCATTTTAATCTTAAGCTCAATACAAAGGGCCAGAAGGGACAGTCTTTCAGGACAGGGTCCCCTTGCTGGACACCAGAGACTCCAAAGGCCATGCTGAGATGCTGTTAGCCATTAGCTTTTAGCCATTTTACATTTTATGTATTTAGCAGACGTTTTTATCCAAAGCAATGTACCGCTGAGAAGGCAGGCTCAGGCCGTCCCTGGAGCAGTTGGGGGTTAAGGGCCTTGCTCAATAGCCCAGTGGTGAGATCACTCTGCCAGCCGCGGGATGTTTGCTGTCCTGCCAAAGCAGTGCTGCCTGTTATTTACTGCGGTTAGCGTGTATCGCTGGGGGCACAGAGCCAGCGCTCAGCGAAAGGCGACTCTTGACAGAGCAGCCCGTCACGGTGCTGACAGCATGAGCCTCCTGCAGGAGCTGCGGGGAGACAACGTGACCCTGCTGGAGACCAAGGCCCTCCTGGAGGAGCAGCTGATGGTGGCACGGAGCCGCTGCGACCGGCTACATGAGCTGGAGAAGGAGAACCTGCAGCTGCGCTCCAAGCTGCACGACATGGAGATGGTGGGCTGGGGGGGGTGTCGGTCACAATCTGGATGCCTTCTATTCTTATGGCCTTCTGAGCTTCTCCCCTGCTCCACCACTGCTGACCCTGCTCTGCTCCCAGGACAGAGACATGGATAAGAAGCGCATTGAGGAGCTGGTGGAGGAGAACATGCTGCTGGAGATCTCACAGAAGCGGAGCATGAACGAGTCTGCCCACCTGGGCTGGGAGCTGGAGCAGCA